ATTACACTACTGGTGTGAATCGGCACCACGTACAGCCTGAGGAATGAGAAGTTGTGCTCCATTTGTGCACAATGTGTCAAAATGCATTCCACTGCCATGTATGATTAATTGGAACAAATTAAAAAACAATAGAAGGGAGACCAGTAAAACAGAGGAGGGGGATCAGGGGGAGGGAGGGGAGGTACTGGGGAATGGCCTTGACCAAATGACACTGTTTTATTGTGTGAATGTGTGAATTTATTATAACAGATACAAAAAGTCTTTACTGACCGATAAAAATCTTATATATAAAATGATAATAAAGTAAACATGATCAAATCTTTCCCTCCCCAAGTTTCCAGGGCAGAGAGGAAAGGCCACACAGGCAACAATATCACAGAGTTGTAAAGAGGGCAGATTCTAGAGCCAAAACAGGATAGAAATTTGAGATATAGAAAAAGAAAGATAGTCTGAGTCTCAAAAGAGAAACATCCATGAGCTGTGGGGATGCAGGGAACACCCACCAACTTTTGAAATACAAAACAAGGGCCTGGAAATGCTGCTCAGTGCAAGAGCACTTGCCTAGCATGTGCAAGGTCCTGGGTTCAATCCTCAGTACTGTGGGGCGGTGGGGGGTGCTCAATTCCTGAGCAAACCAGGAATCGACCTTGCTCGTACACTTGACCCATGCCCTTGTCTGCAAAAACTAACAGGAGGGGCTGCGGATGTGGCTCAAGCAGTAGCGCGCTCGCCTGGCATGCGTGCGGCCTGGGTTCGATCCTCAGCACCACATACAAAACAGAGGGCAATGTGCAAGCTGACATTGTGTTATTTTTTCATCCTGGCTTCATTTCTCGTCCAGCCTCTAACTACTCTCCCTTTATAAACATCGGCCCCCATGCCAAGGGGTTGTTTTCTCTCCCTCCCAGAAAAAGCTGGCAAATGGACCCAGAGGTGTAGCAAACTCATACCAGAAAACCAGGCCCATGAGCTCATCAAACACACCAGACCACTGAAAGAAGGAACCCCCTTACACAAGGATCATAAAAGGAGGAACACCCCAAGACTGAACCCGGCAGCCCCCTAACCTAGCCAGCTGGTCACTCATCAAGAGCCTTGCCCAGGAACAGAGCCACTGACAAACCTCTGAATGTCGGTCCTCAGGCTTCTGCAGAGCAGGGTTTCTCCTGCCCCTGATGACTATGACTTGGCCCATGCCAAGCGGACACTCTGAGACCCCCTCCACCTGGACCCTGGCCTAGAGCAAGCTCCTGTGCTTTGACAGCGTTGCATCTGAACAAGTTCTTCAGCTGGCTCTGGTTAGTAAACTCATCTGAGCACCTGCAGTGACTCTTTGCGTTAGTATCTGCTCTTCTGAACCCCTGTGCCTGCCTTACCCCTTTCTTAGCCTTTCTGTAATATGTGTATAGATTTTTTTTTTCAATTGAGTAAAGTGTGATGTGTGACCTGAGTGTTATAGATATTAGTAGTTCCGATCAGAATTAAAGCCAGGCACAGTGGCTCTTTGCCTGAAATTCTAGCTACTTGGGAAGCTGGGAAAGGAGGATCATGAGTTCAAAACCAGCCTCAGCAACTTAGTGCAACCCTGTTGCAAAATAAAATACTTAAAAAATGGCTGGGGAGGTTGCTCAGTGGTTAAGCACCCATGGGCTCAATCCTTGGTACCCAAAAAATCAGAATAAAAGAACTTAGGATTGCCCAGTTTATGACTTCTAACACACTAGTATCCACTGAGCTGCCACCATTGAAAGTGGTATAACCTGTGAATTTATTATTGTTCAATAAATTCTGACATTGTGGAAACACACAGATGTGCACTGTGTCTCAAAATAAAAGTTATAAAGGGCTGGGGGTATATATCAGTGGAAGAGCACCCCTGGGTTAAAACCACAGTACTACAACAGCAAAAAAGATTGTGTTCATATTGCTGTGCAACAGTACTGGATATATTTGGATATTTATGCAAATTATAAAATGTATTGCCTTTTGGGGGGGTCCACTGTACCATGAAGCTACATCACCAGCTCCCCTTTTTATTTATTTATTTTTTTTTCAGTTGTATATGGACACAATATCTTTATTTTTTATGTGGTTCTGAGGATTAAACCCAATGCCTCACACATGCGAGGCAAGTGCTTTGCCACTGAGCTACAGCCCCAGCTCCCCCTCCTTTTTATTTTGAGGCAGGGTCTCACTAAGTTCCCCAGGTTGGCCTCAGCCTCCTGAGTAGCTGGGATTACAGGTATGTGCCATGGTGCCCAACTCTGTATTGCCTATTTTTTTGGGGGGAGGGGGGTACTAAGGATTGAACTCAGGGGCACTCAACCACTAAGCCACATCCCCAGCCCTATTTTGTATTTTATTTAGAGACAGGATCTCACTGAGTTGCTTAGCACCTCACCATTGCTGAAGCTAGCTTTGAACCTGCAATCCTCCTACCTTAGCCTCTAGGATTACTGGCATGTGCCACCATGCCCATCTGTATTGCCTATACTTTTAAATAGCTTTAAAATCATTGTGCCCAAATAATAATATGTCACCCATTTCTATTTCACTTGAGTAAAGAGTGTCATTGTATTGGGAAGGGGTTAGAGAAAAAGAGCATATTCTTTGAAATCAGATTGAATAAAATTCAAATCCTGTCCCTGTCTTTGGGAAGGTCAAGTAACTTCTTTTTTTTTTTTTTTAATTTTTTATTGTGGGTTGTTCAAAACATTACAAATTTCTTGACATATCATATTCCACACTTTGATTCAAGTGGGTTACTTCTTTAATCCTCTAAATTTCACATAAAAATGATGCCCCCTCAAAGAGTTGCAGTGCAAGAGCTGAGGGTTTTTTTGTAAAGTGTGGAGCAGGGAATCTAGCCCAAAGGGAGCCCTAAGTTCACAAAGACTATTATTTTCCCACTGCACCTGAAAGAATCCTGGAGGAGGGGTGTCTTTTTAGACAGGGGGATGATTCTTAATCTGTGAGAAGCATTCTGGCAGAATCACTTGGGGTTCTGTGATTCTGTATGCATGTTCAGGATCCCACTCCCAAACCCACCAAGCAAGAATCCACTAGGGTTCTGAGTCCTGAGCAACCTAATTTCATACACACACACACCTTTAATTTGGATACACTAAAAACCAGCTAAGGTGCAAATGTCCTGTGCTCCTAGCCTCACCTCCTAGCCTACAGCTGCAAAACTTAAATCTCTTCTTGGCTAGTAGTTCCACCAGGTAACTGGGTTGGGTGCTGGGAAAGTGGGAGTGGGAGGTGGCAGGCCCAGGGAGAAGAACATGCAGATGTTATTCTAGACACAGGGGTGTTCTGGCCTCATCCCTGGACGCTGTTAGGAGTGAGAACTTGGGGGAGCAATTTCCCCACATGTGATCTGGGGGAGAAGGAGGAAGTCGCCCTTCCCAAACTGTCATCCGATCACCATCTGCTTAAGCAGCGAAAAGAGTGCACGTCCCAACTGGATTTTATGGAGCTTCGGGCGCAGACCTTTCCCCACACCCTCACCCGGCCCCGTCTCAGCAGCTCTCTACACATCTGGCGAAGCAGTGGGGACAGTAGCGGCTGCAGGCTCCCCTGGTTGCCTGGAGATGCTTGTTGTAAGCTTTTATGTCAGAGGAAAAAGTGTGGCTCCTGGAGGGCTGCCTGCCTATCGACTTTCCTCCGTTTCCCTCCCAAGTCTCTCCCATACGCGAGAGCCTTGTTCTGTCCATCGTATATTGCATTTTTCTTGCCTTCCAGTTCGGCCTTGCCACCTGTCCCCTGAAGATCTTGGTCTGGGCGGGGGTGCCCGGGACTCTCACCGTCGCTACTGGGAAGGGCTTGGCGCGGCCGCAGGCTGCACTGACGCCACAGGAACAGCAGGTGGCGCCACAGGCGAAGGAGCCCGTGAGCAGCTGAGGCTGCAGAAGCCGAGCTGCCCGGTGCACAGGGGCTCAATAAATATTTGTTGAGTGAGGGGGTGTGTGTGTGATACACCTGGGAGAGTCTCCCGTTACACTCTGTCTCCATGTCTAAGCACCAAAGCTGACAGGAGGGTGAAGGAATGAAATGGGCTGCTGCAGAAATGGGGATTTTTGCCCCCTGGCCGAGGAGGGTCACCCAGCCACCCACAGGGATCCGGCAGAGCCAGGACTTTCGTGGGGCTCGTTTTTTTGGCCAGCCTGCAGCCAAACCTTGGACCCTAACACGTGACTCTTCCAAAGCATTTGGCGCTATTAACCTATCTCCTATAAGAGACCCGGTACTTGGTCCTTGTCGGCACCAATGAAGATAAATAAATTTCCCACCCTTTAATATTTTTTCTTAAAATCAACATACTTTTAAAATTACATGTAGCCTGGCGTGGTGGCACATACCTGTAATCCTAGAGACTAAGGAGACTGAGGCAGGAAGATCACAAGTTCAAAGCCAGCTTCAGCTCCTAAGTAAAGCCCTAAACAATTTAAAATAAGGAGGAAAAAATTAAAAAGGGGGAAATGGGGTTTAAGTGCCCCTGGGTTCAATCCCTGGTACCAAAATAAATAAACAAAGTTAAATATAATTATAAGGGAAACGGCTTATTGTTATAATAACTAGAAGCCCACTGTTAATCACCAAAACAGAACTGAAAAAAAAAAAATAAATACAAAACAGTTCTGATTTCTTCTGTCTAGCTGTTTACCATTGAAAATCATCTGACATATCATCCGTGGTGTGTTTTTCACACTTTAGGAAAAACTGGGATTCCAGCACAATCTCTCCCAGGGATTCTGAATGAAATGAGGTCAGAGGTGGTGCATAGGGAGAGGGGGGAGGGGAGACAGACAGGAACCCGTTTTACCCTGTTGCAAAACAAAGGGAACCCTGACTGACATTGGGCACCATCTGGCTAATTCCATGGCCTTCCAACAGGATGCACATATGTCCGGAAACTTCAAGTTATTTTTTAACTAGGAAGTTGAGGAGGAAGGGTGGAGATGGGGCTTCCTGAAGTTCTTATGCCAAGTATGCTGGCATCTCAGGGAGGGGGTCCTTACTGTTCACCCAGACCCCCTCCCTCATATCTGATGACTGAGTTCCTCTTCCACATCCTTCTTGCCTCTGCCCCCGCTCACTGCCTACTGTGGAGGTGGTCTATGGGTAGCCATGGGCCAGGACAGCAGAAAAGACACAAGTGTCCTCAGGAGGAAAAAAAGAGCAGGTGAGTGATCCTTGTCTAGACCTTGGTGAGTCTGTGGTTTGAGGCTTCTGGGGTAGGTTGTAGGGAAAGAACCACAGAGCTTTAAGATAGAGGGCAGGACAGGCAGGACCTTACAGTAAGCCCCAGCCCCACTCAGTTCCCAGACTCAGGGCTGCTAGAGGGAGAAGATATCTGCTAGAGGGAGAAGACTGGCCAGCCTGGTCTTCTTATGCACACTAGAGTTTTATTTATAAAAGGAAGTGCAGATAGTCTCTTCCATTCCTTCAGAGAACAACCAAGAAAGTGTAGTCCAGTAGGAGGAGGATCTGCTTTGCTCTCTTTGTCCTACAATCCTGGAGTATAGACAAGTCATTGGTACCCTCTGGTCCTAGAGATCTTTAGGTCAGGAAGGCAAAATCATTAGTCCAGAACCATCCCTGAACTAACCTGGGGTGGGAGAGTTGAGGAGGAGCCAAGGCAGCCTCTGCACCTCTGCTTCTGCAGGGAAGTCTTCGAGGTGGCAGACCTGCTGGGCCGATTCTGGCTCTGTCCCCTGCCTAGTGCTAGAGACTCCTGACAAGTTACTTAACGTCTCCAAGCCTTAGTTTCTTCACCTGTAACATGGGCATCATGCTGCCTTCATAGAGTCATGTGTGGGGGCTGAGGTCATTCCTGCAGAGTTTCAGAAGGAGGACCAAGTCACTGGCCCAACCAACTCCATTTTCTGACTCCACTTACCTTTTTAAAAATCATTTTTGCATCTGAGCCACTTTCCTCTGCAGCTACCTTGAGTTCCAGGAACCGCAGGCCTGGTTGAAAAGTATCTTAATAACAAGTGGCTTAATACTGACTGCTAGAACAGGTGCCATGAGGAGATGACCCCCTAAGCAGGAACCATGACCCCATGACAAAGTCAAAGCTGCTCCCCTCCAGCAGGAGCAGTCATTTCAACATGGGGACCCAGTCACCCCCTCAAGCAATGATGACCTTCCCGGGGCTTCACAGAAGCAGCCCTGAGATAACGACCCACCAGACCAGAACCTGACCAAGATGTCTTACTCTACCAGCTCTACACATCCCCCAGCCGTACAAATCTCCAACCCTCGCTTGTGTTCCCCTTTTCTATGAAACCTCAAAGTTTCTGTCCATTCCTTGAAGACATATCTTTGGTCGCTGTATCCCTGCATCTGTTCTTCCGGTGGTCATGCTGATTAAAGGTCTTTTCCTTCTGTTCTCTTTGATGGGCGTATGGGGGTGGGTGGCCGAGCCTGGCCTGTGCAGACCACCTGGGCCAAGGACTCCAGTTACAGTCAGCAAGTCAGCATGGGCTGAACACCGACTGTTCAAAGTGTGGTGTATAATCCGAGTTCCTTGTGTGGGGTTAAACAGGCAAGGAGTTTCCAGAAAAGCAATAAATGTGTGTGTGTGTGTGTGTGTGTGTTTGGCATATCTTCTGTGCCACAGCAGTTCCAGTCTATCCCCTTCCTCAAGCATGCTCGCTGCATCTTCTGACATCTTGTCACCAGTAGTGATAGCGTTCCACCTTTACTATGGAGACAACACCTTCAAGGAAGATAAGCTTCATCAGAGTGGCCCCAACCCCCCCCCCCCCCCCCCCCCCCACCCCCACCCCCCGCACATCACAGACACCCATATGAAGCTTGAGTTGTAAACTCCACTGACCCAAGTGGCTTAGACCAGCTTCCCACAAAGCAAACACCTTTTGTTTTGCTATTGTGTTCTGAAGGCATCTGTAACCAGCCAGGTGTTAAACCTGATTGCAGGACCTGCTCCCGGGCACTTGGACTCTTGGTCCCAGCTGACAGCTTCACCCACTTGCAGGAACCACACAGCCCCTCCACTCCCAGCTCAGACAGGCTCTGCCCTGTTAAACACAAAGCACAGGAGGCCATTGTTTTGGATTAAGCGCCTGCATTCGGCCCCAACAGTCCTGGCTAAAAATAAAAATAAAATCACTCACGTTAAGGTTTCACATCACCAATCTGAAACTAAGCTATCTGATCTTCTGAGAAATCGGGATTATGAATGTTTATAGGCAAATTTCCCAAACAGGTCAATTTCAATTGAAATGATAATGAAGCTCTCTCTCTCCTTTAATTCTTACACAAAAAATACTTGAAATAACCTGATATTAACTGTTTTCCTATCATTCTGTCCCCTGCCCCTGCCTTAAAGGGAAAGTCACTTTGAAAAAACCAATCTGCCTTTTGTTCTTTTTTTCTCTTTCTTCAGTCTTTCTCTGTCCATAAAACCAAACTCTTTTGCTCAGTCCTACCAAACACTTATTAATCTGTTTACTGGAATGAAGCGTTGCCAATTCTAGAATCAAGCATAAAATTGGGTTGAGGGTGTAGCTCGCGGTAGAGCCCCTGTGTCACATAATGAGGCCCTGGGTTCGCTTCCCGGCACCACGGAAAAAAAATGACACATAAGAAAATAAAGTAAAAAATAAATAAGGAAAGAAAAGAAAAGAAAGTCAACTAGCTGGGCCCAGTGGCACAAACCTGTAATCCCAGCTACTTGGGAACCTGAGGCAAGAGGATCAAAAGTTCAACGCCAGCCTCACCCATTTAGTGAAACCCTCAGCAACTTATCAAGACCCTGTTTCAAAATTTAAAAAATAAAAATAAAAGTGGATGGGGTTGTAACACAGTGTTAGGGTGCCCCTGGATTCAGTCTGTAGTACCAAAGACCAAAAATCAAACAAAAAAAAGCCAACAATCTTTTCTAAGAATTGATATTGGAAATCCTGAAAAATCACCTTCACTAAATTCTATTAGTCAAGTGTTATGGAGCCAACCCAGATTCTTTTTGTTTGTTTATTGGCAGTGTTGGGGGTCAAACTTAGGGCTTCATGCATGCTAGGAAAGTGCTCTAACCCTGAGCCAGGTTACCCACCAGCCCAAATTCTTGATATAAAGAGCAGCATGCACATGCAGAGAAGGAAGTAACAGTTGTGGGCCATCTTTACAGGCTACCTAGTACAGATCAGAAGGAGAATAGAGTAGCAAGCCCTCTAAATCTCAACGGTCACTCCCTAACACCACACTATTCATTCATTCATTCATTCATTCATTCATTCATTGTCTCTTTCCCTCTCCTATGTAAGTTCATGAGAGTACACACTTTGCTTTGTTCACTGATGTATTCCCAGAACTTAGAACAATGCCTGGCACCTAGTAAAAGCTCGGGAAATATTTGAATGAATGAATCAATCAATCATTCAACTGACCTGACCAGACACAGGAAGCTGAGTAGGTGGGGAGGTTTCATGGAAGAAATGAAATTTAAACTGGACTTTAAAGAATGTGTTCCATAGTGTGGGAGGCCATCCTCGCACGAGATTTGAGTTACCTCCCTGGCTGGGTGAGAGGCGCTTAGACATAATGGTGTTAAAGCCATCCCACACCCTTTCCCAGGTCCGAGGGCTTGTCCGTGCAGAGGCGTGCCTGGCCATGCAGAGGCGTGCCTGGCCACTGACCTGAAGACCCTATCGCCAGCCCTGACCTTGGGATGCTGCCCCCCTTAACCTTCATTGGATAGGATTTTCCCTTGAATTTTTTTTTCCCAATAAAAGCTCACTCCCTGGCGTGCTCTCCCTCTCTCGCTAGTCTCTTCTGTAAACCTCGCCACTGCATTAGGTGGCTACAGGCAGGAGCTAGGAGAAGCCGTCTCGGAGCTGGGGTTAAAGGTAAATGAGAATCTGTCTCTTTAATTTAAAACTCACTAGCAATTTCTTATGCATCGAACCTTCTTTTATGAAGCTCGCGCTGGTCGAATGGCAGACCATAGGTAAGATGATGAAAAGTAGTGATGGGTTGGGCATGGTGTCACACACCTGTAACCCCAGGGACTCAGGAGGCTGAGGCAGGAGGATCACAAGTTTAAGGCCAGCCTCAGCAACTTAGCAGGACCTTCAGAAACTTAGTGAGAACCTGTCTCAAAATAAAAAATAAGAAGGACTAGGGATGTAACTCAGTTCTAATGTGCTGCTGGGTTTAGTTCCAACACATAAAAGAAATGAAAGCTGGACACGGTGGTGCAGGCTTGTAATCCCAGCAGCTCTGGAGACTGAGGCGGGAGGATCGAAAGTTCAAAGCCAGCCTCAGCAAAAGTGAGGCACTAAGCAACTCAGTGAGACCCTGTCTCTAAATAAAATACAAAATAGGGCTGGGGATGGCTCAGTGGCTGGATGTCCCCCAGACACACACACACACACACACACACACACACACACACAGAGAGAGAGAGAGAAAGCAGAAAAACAGTGATGGGAAATGGGGGGCTTACCTAGTTATATGTTTGGTGGGCACATAACCATCCATAAACCTCTTGATCCAGTGGTATTTCAAACTCAATGCAGATATAGGAGAGCATTTAAGAGGGCAATTTCATCAGAGTCAGTGCACACATGTGGGTTAATGTTCATTTGTGTATGTCCCCTGGCAGGGGCGCAGTCTGCAGAAGGAAGGAGACTAAATTCTCACAGGCTCAGTCCCACGTACAGGGCTTCCTCTGACCTTGTTCTGTAGGCATGAGATTCTCAACTGGAAACAGTTTTGACATTAGGCAATATCTGAGGACTTTTTGTCATTGTCACACTAAAGGGATGATTGTTATTGGTATCTAGTGAGTAGAGGTCACTACTAAATATCCTACCGCTCACAGGACAGCCCCACCCAACAAAGAATTAGCTGGCCCAAATTGTTAACAGTTCCACAGTTAAGAGGCTCGGTTGACACATGTGGGAAAATGGGACACCCATTCATTGAGACTGCAAATTGGTGCAACCACTGTGGAAAGCAGTATGGAGAGTCCTCAGAAAACTTGGAATGGAATCACCATTTAACCCAGTTATCCCACTCCTCAACATATACCCAGAGGACTTAAAATCAGCATACTATAGTGACGTGGCCACATCATTGTTCATAGCAGCTCAATTCACAATTGCTAAGCTATGGAACCAACCTAGGTGCCCTTCAACAGATGAATAGATAAAGAAAATTTGGTCTATAACCACACTGGAATATTACTCAGCCATGAAGAAAAAATGAAATTATGACATTTGCCAGAAAATAATAGAACTGGAGACTGTCATGCTAAATGAAATAAGCCAGTCCCCAAAACCAAAGGCCAAATGTTCTCTCTGATATGCAGATGCTGACTCACAATAGTGGGGAGTAGTAGGTTCACCGGATGGGACAGGAGAGATGGAGAGAAAGGAGGAGCTATGGAAAGGGAAAAGACAGTAGAAGGAATCAGACATAACTTTCCTGTGTTCACATATGAATACGCAACCCATGTAAATCCACATCATGTACAACCACAAGAATGGGAAGTTACACTCCATGTTTGTATGTCAATATACACTCTACTGTCATGTATAACTAAAAAGAACAAATAAAATAACTTTTTTTTAAAGGCCCTGTTGGAGAGTGTCATGGGGCACCACAGGGAATTGCCATGAATTCAGGGCATCTGTGAGATGGCACACAGTGAGAATCTTCATAGTAGAGCTCATCCCAAAAATTGTGTTCCCACCTAAGATGACTGTATTCTATAAATGACTTCTTTCAATTTTTCATCAATCTCAATTAATGGAGCTTCAATAACAGGGATAATTAAAAGTTCAAAAGACATATACAAGGAGGGAAATAAAAGACTGGAAGCAGCCTGCACATCAAAATCCTCCTGGAACTAAGGAGAAACAAGTGGTTTGTACTTAATGCAGAGAATGTACCTACACAATAGCTCCCGGATTCCTCCTCTTCATCTCCACTCCAACCTCTCTACTCCAAACCACCGTCATCTCTCACCTGGACCAATGTTCTAATGTTCCCTAAATGTTCTTCCCAGGTCTCCTCTGGTCCCTTCCATGTTTCCTCCCTCAGGAAAGAAAGAGGGCTCTTAGAGAATTGGCTGCTGAAAAACCTATGGAGGGTTTTGTTTTTGTTTTTGTTCTTCCTGTTTAAGAAAAAATACAAAAACTGCAATGGGCCCATCATGCACTGGAAGACCAGCCTCACCTACCCCTGGCTGCTCCTCCTCCTCAGTGCCCTTCAGCCATGGAGTACTGCATGCTAGTCTGCTCTCCATTCCCAGAAGGCCTCAGATGCACTCCAGCCTCAGTCACTGTCACTCAACAGGCACTTGGAGAATTGACTTTTGCTAAAAGCAGTGACTCTACCCAGGCGTGCAGGTGCCCAGTGGG